AGGGAGAGGAAAAGTGAGGAGGAGGAGGAGGAGGAAGGGGTGGGGGGATGGGGGATGGAGAGACTGTGCTTTGTTCTATTACCCAAAGGAGAAACACTGTAATATTAATTTTTGTGTAGTTTTTTTCTAATTAAAATATAGTGAACAAACAATATTCTATTACTTTCAGGTGTACAACATAGTTATTTAACATTTATCTACCTAATGAAGTGATCGCCATGGTAAGTCTAGTAACCACCTGGCATTGTACAACGTCATTACGATATGATGGACTATATTCCCTGGGCCCTACCTTGCACCCCCGGAATTACTTATTTTATAACTGGACATTTGTACCTCTGATTCCCCTTCACCTTTTCCACCCGTCCTCTCACTCCCTTCCCCTTTGGAAACCATCGGTTTGTTTTCTGTATCTATGAGCCTGTTTCTATTTTGTTTGTTCATTTGTTTTGTTTTTTAAATTTCACCTCTAAGTGAAATCATATGGCATTCACCTCCTCTGACTTATTTCACTTAGATATTTCCACATTTTTATACATTCATCCATCAGTGATCACTTAGCTTGCTTGGTTATTGTAAATAATGCTGCAATAAACATAGGGGTGCATATATATTTTTTAAATTAATGTTTTTGATTTCTTTGGATAGAGACCCAGAAGTGGAATTGCTGGGTCATATGATAATTCTAGTTCCAATTTTTTTGGAAACCTTCGTACTGTTTTTCATAGTGGATGTACCGATTTGCAGTTCCATCCAGAGTGCACTGGGCTTCCCTTTCTCCACATCCTCGTCAGCACTTGTTATTTGTTGTCATGTTGATAGTATCCAGTCTGACAGGTGTGAGGTCATTTCTCATTGTGGTTTTGATTTACATTTCCCTGATGATTAGTGATGTTGAGCATCTTTTCATGTGTAATTTGACCATCTGTCTGTTTTCTTGAGAAAAATGTCTATTTAGGTCCTCTGCCTACTTTTTAATCAGATTTTTTATGTTGAGTTGTATGAGTTCTTTATATATTTTGGATATTAACTCCTTATTGGAGTTACCATTTGCAAATATCTTTCCAACTCAGTGAGTTCCATTTTCATTTTGTTTATGGTTTCCTTAAAGAAAATATAAGCAATAAAATCATAGACATTTCTCATAGCAATTTTTTTCTGATACATCTCCACAGGCAAGGGAAACAAATAAACAAACAAATAAACAAATGAAGCTACATTAAACTAAAAAGTTTGCACAGCAAAGGAAACCATTAACAAAATAAAAACACACCTCACTGAATGGGAGAACATATTCACCAATGCTATATCTGATAAGGAGTTAATATCCAAAATGTATAAATAACCGATAAAACTCAACATCAAAACCCCCAAACAATCGAATTAAAAAATGGACAAAGGATCTGAATAAACACTTCTCCAAAGAGGACATACAGATGGCCAGTAGACATATGAAAAGATGCCGAACATCACTAATCATCAGAGAGATGCAAATTAAAACCATAATGAGGTATCACCTCACACCTGTCAGAATGGCTGTCATCAATAAATCAATAAACAAGTGCTGGTGAGGATGTGGAGAAAAGGGAACTCTTCTCCACTGTTCGTGGGAGTGCAGACTGGTGCGGCCACTGGGGAAAGCAGTATGACGTTTCCTCAAAAAATTAAAAATGTCATTGCCTCATGACACAGCAATTCCACTTCTGGGGATATATTCCAAGAAATCCAAAACTTGAATTGGAAAGAAAATATGCTCCCCTATGTCCATTGCGGCGTTATTTATAATAGCCAAGATTTAGAAGCAGCCCACGTGCCCATCAGTATGAGTGGATAACAAAGCTAAGTGTAGTTTTTCGTGCTCACTCAATACCAAGCACCCACTCTGTGCCAGGACACTCCCACTTCCTCTTTTTTCTGGTCTTGGTGTTGAATCTCAAGTATAGCCGAGTGGTTTCTTGTAGTCTGCTGAGGTCAACCTTGGATCACCAGAAGTGACAGGCGATGACTTTCTCTTCTCAACCTGCCACAGAGCTGCATCCTTTCACACACCGCACTCCTCCAGTTCTAAACAATGTAACCAGAAACGGGTCTTTGTTAATGGAGCTGTTCTCAGCATTGGGCGTTCTTGAATTACACTCAATAGAGGCCTTTCACGGCCTTGCACATGGTAATGTCTGCTTCAGGCAGGCAATTCCTGTAGGCCAAGGACTTGAATCTCTTCAGTTCTGTGTGTGACAGAGCTACCTGGTTTCTGACATTTAACTAGATTAGATGGAATCTGGTGAATTATAGGTTTGAGGGAGCATGCTATTCCTGATCTTCATCTTCCATTTCATGAACCTGTGGAGTGGAGCCATCAGAGAGAGGACAACAGGAGAAAGAAGGCTTTGCTAGTCGGACACGGTTCGGACCCAGGCAGTGAAATTTCAGGAGCCTCAAGAAGGGTCTCTTTTCTCCCTCCAAAATATACTGCAGTCTGATTCCTTTAATTCCCTAATTAATAATGGGGTTAGTAATACTTCAATCAAGGATGGTCTTATGTTAAAATACAACTATCTCCTGGGTATTACTCTCTTCAGTTATAGACTTTATGGTGAATGAGTTGCTGAACTCAGATAAGGCAAATGAAAAAGGAAGTCTGGTGGCCTGATTTGGGTGGGAATGATGGAGAGTGGTTCTGAGGGTCATAGGAAATGAAAAGTGAGGCTAATGGAAGAGAAACTTCTAGTTTACTCAGTTTTCTTTGGGAATTTTCTTGAGAAGAATTGAACAAGATGTGTGCATATTATATCAGTATGTGTGCATGCATGTGGTGTGTGTGTGTGTGTGTGTGTGTGTGTGTGTGTGTGTGTGTGTAGCGAGGCAGGCAGTACACAGTGATGCTTTCTTAGATACCCAATACGCCACTCATGTAAAATCACCATTTATCTTTTTTTGATCTCTAGCCTGTTGCACAACTATGTATTTATTGGCCACCCAAACCACTTCCTCTGGTCATGGTGGCCTCTGTTTCTGTGGTAACATAGGAAATCAGGACTGTGGATAATGTTGCATCAGAAAAGCTTTTATCGTCACTTGGTTTAAGCTTGACAGAGAAATTGAGCTAGCACCTCCACAGAAATTGCATAGCACCTCCACAGAGAGATCATCCACTGACTTAAAATGACCCTGTCCCTATGCCCGAACCCTCCATAATTAAGAACTGCTCATTCTCCAAATCCAAAGTGTGCTTACTCCTTGGCTTCTATCTCTCCCCCTTCTGACAACCTTTATCAAACAGATGATGTATTGACAGTGGTAATCAAAGAAGATTTACAAAGAGGTGGTTGGAAAAGAACCAAAAAATGATGGTGAATCACTTCAGAACAAGCAACAGAGGAAACATTGCCAGCCTTACGCCTGAGGGGACAGAGGAAGGAGAGTTTGTTGTTGGACCCAGGTGGAACTCACCCACTTTCAAGACAATGGCCAGGCAGGGAGAGAGCAGGGCGGAATCAAAATCTTGATATTTCTCTCTTCAGCTGATTCTTTTATTGGTGGAAGAACTCCAAGAGAAGTATGAGGACCAGGGTCCATAGAGGTCAGCTTCCTGAGGCACAGAGCAAGGCAGAGAAGGGGAGGGAATTGTTTGGGGAGGGCAAGTGGAAAACATATGGCATTAGCAGTTTCCCTATAAGCTGCCAGGATTAAATATAATGATCTGTAAAAGCATTTAGCACAGCACCCGGCGCATGATAAGTACCCTATAAATGTAGTTTAGTGATAGTAGTAATAGTGGTACTGATAATCAGATTAGGATATTTTTACTACATTTTAGCTGAACCATCTCTAAGGCCTCTCCTGGTGCCCTAATCATTACCTTTCATTTCATATCCCAGCGTTATTATGAAATGGACTTAAGTAAGACCTGTTTGTCTTGTCCAAGTCACACCTGCAGGTATGAATTTATAGCCACACGCCTCTTTAATTTTGATAGATGGAAATGTAATTTAATTATCATTTAGCTATGCCGAATTTGGAGATTACATGTATAAGGCATTATAGCCTTAATTGGCACCCATGACAAAGAAACACCCAAGTGTGTCTCTTTCTCAATTTATACCTCAATGCTGCTTCTGGGGAGTAGGGGATGGAGCATGAGCTTTAAGTTGAATGGGTAGGTGTATGGCTAAGGACATTAAATAGAACCAACATCCCCTTACTCTTCTCCTCCCTCCTCTTCTGTGTGTGTGTGTGTGTGTGTGTGTGTGTGTGTGTGTAGAATGTGTGAGTTGTACCTAAGGCAGTGCAGTTGCAAATAGTTATGTTTGAGAGGTTGATCCACTTGGTTGCATGTCGTTGAAGTTGGCTCATTCTCATGGCTTTAGAGTGTTCTGTGGGATGACTATGCCACAATTTATACAGCTATACTTTAGGTGATGCGTGTAAGTTGTTTCTAAGTTTTGGCTTTTATGAACAGTGTTGCCATCATCATTCTTACACATGCCTTTTGAGAACACATTTGTGCATTTTTGTTTTGTATATATCTTGAAGTAGAATTGCTGGGTGACAGGGAATACATACATATGTTTGATTTTAGAAGTCCAGTTGCTCTCCATTGCACACAGAGCCCACATGTTTGATTTTAATAGATACCAGCAAATAATTTTCCAAAGTGATCGTACCCATGTGCATTCCCACAAATAGAATATATTTTAAGATCTGTAAAATTCTGTTAAATTCATAATATGATTTTACAAAAATATAGTTTGAATCATGTGAAAAATGGGTATGTTTTTCTCTTTTGTTGACATCCTATTTTAGTTATATTCTTATATTGCAAGGCGCAGCCTCATTTCTGTGAGCTTAGCTTGTTGGCACGGGTTTGTTATGGTAAAGATTCATATGCACACAAATTAGAAAAGGCTGAATTGTGTTGCTTTAGGAAGGGTATAAAAATGCACAGGGCCAGGCTGTGGGATCTGGAGTGTTCTGCTCATTGCGCTTGCTTCTTCCTGTAAGCTGTGCTGGTGTCCTGGGGGTGGGCCGGTCCAGCCTCTCTGGGCCTGTGTTCAGCAGGAAGTTACCATAGGTTCTACTGTGAACCAGCATCAGTTCTGACTGTGTGGTCATCTCTTCCGGTTGCTCCCCTGCCATGCGCCTTGCAAACATTTGATTCTCACCTTTACTGAAGGGGAGCTACTCTGTGCCACCAGTCGTTAAGGCTTCCAGCCCCTTTCTG